AAACTCAAAAAAGCCTATGAAAAAGGTACCAGGGGCATCTCATGGGGCCCCCTACTGACCTCGGGCAGTGCCCGAGTTTCCAAATGGTCAGTCCGCCCCTGTTCATAACACTCTAGGAAGTGTAAAGGGTCTTCCCATGCCCACACAGCGCTGATTGGTGCTGTTGTGGTCACATGCTGCCAATGAACAAGCCCTCAAGCAGATACGCCCTTGCTAGATGATGCTTGATCACCTTGCAGGGAAGACTGTGGAAATGTCAATCTTGGTGCTGAAGCCATCTCTGAAGTGATACAAGAGTCACATGAGGCAGTTTGAAAAGAAAAAGAAATGTGATCATATATTTCTGGCTTTATTTGAGACACATGCACAGTGAGGGTGGCAACGCTGCAGCCGGAGACTCAGCTGCTTTTAGTTTGGCAGTTAGAAAGTGAAGAAAAATGGTAGACTCAACCAGGTATTTATCAATGCAGAGGGGATGCACAAACAAAAGCTTGTGCTATAAGACACAATACCTAGTGTTACTCATAAATACACTTAAAGGAGAACTATAGCCAAAACTTTTTTTAGCTGTACTTCAGCTATGGATCAAAGGAGTGCAGTTCATTCTCTCTGCAGCTCAGTGATCAGTGGTCTTTGATTGCTCAGTTCTCGGTCTTAGAGCCGGCGGGGACCAATGCTTCATCCACCTAGGTGAGTTTTTTTTTCGTTTTTTTACTGAAACCCAAACTTCTCTTTTAAAAAAGTTTTTGATTTTAATGACACATAAATATACTTGATTTATAATTTATTATCCACATAATAGCAAATTAAAAAAAAAGTTTTGCCTGCAGTACCATTCTACATTTCCTGCACTTTACCGTCTAACCCTTACAGTTGAGGGTACGCACATATGTGGCCTCAGTGAAGTGGGTCTTCTTCCACAGGGGTGCATGAGTACCTACCTATGTTGCATAGTATGCTCCCAGAACAAAGCCGAGCTGTCACTGACAGATCCAGGTCTTGTACTAACAATCCAGAGCCAGCTGGACAGGCTTTTGATAACATGATTGCTGTGATAGCCAAGATAGATTAGGCTAACTTAACAGCCCACCCTTGTACTTTTTCTATTGAATGGAAAAAATATATACATCTAGGGCAACTTATCAAAACAGGAGCATCCAGAATTTGGAGCAGCTATGCATGGCAACCAGTCAACTTCTATCTTTCATTTTTAAATCCTAAAGTGGAACTAAACCCTTCTATCCTTTACAGCCATGATCTGAGATGCCATGGAGATACACATTATTATTACACAGGATTTATATAGCACCAACAGTTTGCACGGTGCTTTACAAAATATGTCATCATTTATGACACCAGCCATCTGATGACTTAACAATTCAGTTGAGAGCCCAAGCACCTGTGACAGTTATCATTCATGGTATGCCCTGAATGTAACTGTTTTTAGAAACTGTTAAATTGATGGTTTAGCTCTGCTTTAAAGCAGAACTACACCCTCTTATCCTTTAGGGCTCAGTCACACCATGGTGCAGAGACGTCGGTTTTTCTGCACGGGCTCTGCAAGGGCACAATGAAACTAATTGTTCTTTCTGTGCTCTGTTCATACCACAGCACTAGTATCATGTGCAGATGTTTTATGCACAGGAACCTGCAACATGTATAAAACTCACTGAAGCGCGCATGAAGACCGATGTAAACCGATGTCTCTGCACGTGAAATCTGTGCATCAGTTTCCATGAGTTTTTCTGCACGTATGGCAGGGATGTCACACTGACGGCCCTCCAGCTGTTGCAGAACTACAAGTCCCATCATGCCTCTGCCTGTGGAAGTCATCCTTGTAACTGTCAACCTTGCAAGGCCTCATGGGACTTGTAGTTCTGCAACAGCAGGAGGGCCGGCAGTTTGATACCTGTGACGTATGGTGTGAAGGAGGCCTTACAGCCAAGGAAGCGTCCATCTTAGACTCTGTTTAAACATCAGTTGCCATGGTGCTGCACATTATCAGTTACAATGCCAGCCATTTTTATGGCTTGACAGTTTGCTTAAGAGCAGAAGCAGCTGTGACAGTTATTAAAAAAATGTAACAGTTTGGGGAAGTCATTATGACCCATTTACCTATTAGGCCCCATAATGGTACCCCAAATGTGGCTCAATTTTGCTGCATTTGTCATGTGACAGAACGTGTGTGCAAAATTACGCAGACCAAAATTTCTGCATGCAAATCGCACTTTTTAAATTGCTAGTGGGAAACAGTGTTCTTTCTAAGCGCTATGTGAACAGGGCCTTAAAGTGGAACTTTATTTATTTTGCCTGTGTGAGGTGCGAGCACACAAATACACTGACAATCTGCAGGAGACCTTTGCAGACTGCTTTACAGACTCCTACAACAAAAGATAACAAATGCACATTTTTAGGGATGCACCGAAACCGGTATCGGTGCTAATACTGAGTATTTTCACGAGTACTCATGAAAATGCTCCTGATACCAGAAACTGATACTTTGCAGTGCGAATACAAATTGCACTGCAAAGATTAGCATGCGATTTGAACGGGAATGCAATTCTTGTCCAAATCCCACACAGCTTCCCCATTGCTCCTGTATGAACCCAGGCTAGTCATAGCCTGTGTTCACACAGGAGCACTGCGGGAAATCTCCCTGCAGGGATCCCATGCTGAGCGAAGAATGTGTGGGGATGTATACTATGGATGCTCCATATTCTCAGTAGTAGGAGGAGAGAAAGTGGCAAGGATTTCAAATCCCCGCCCCTTTCTCTCCTCTCCTTGCAGGGATGAAAGTTCGGACTAAAGGGCTTTTGATTGGTCAGCACTGTTACATGAATGGTGCTGACCATTCAAAAGCCCTCTAGCCCAAACTGTCATCCGCAAAGAGTAGAGAGAAAGCTGTGGGGATTTCAAATCCTTTCAGCTTTCTCTCCTACCACTGAGAATAAGGAGCATCTGCTTCCATAGTATACATCCCCACTCTGCCCTGCAGGAAACCTCCCTGCACCACTCCTGTGTGAACTCAGGCTGACACTCTGGGTTCACACAGGAGCAGTGGGGAAACAGCATGCAATTTGGACAGGAATCACATTCCTGTTCAAATCGCATGTTATCCTTTGCGTCTATACGTTTTGTAAAAATTTGGGAATCAGTATCAGCGAGTACTTGCCGATAAAAAAAAGGGTATCGTCCATCCCTACACATTTTTTTAACTGAAAAAAATGTGCATTTATTATTTTTTGTTGAAAGGTGAACTTAGCCATTATAAAGTTTTGGTTTTTTTTAGTCTCAGGCCTCATTTACACCTGCTATACTGTTTGAAGAGTAATCCACGTTCTGACTGCTCTTCAGAGAGCAATAGGTATTGTGCAGGTGTTGTGTCACCTCTTCACTGCCTATTTTAACCACCTAAATACCAAACAACCGCCCAGTTGTGGGACAGTTCTGGTTCATACCAGGACTGCACAGGAATGTTCGGGTTTGAACACATGCAGTACGATTCCCATGCAGTAAGTTTTGACAGCCCATTCATTTGAATGGGCTGCAAAATGCACTGGGTCACGCAAAAAGTAGTGCTTGTACTACTTTTAAAAACACGCAGTACCATGCAATTTGATGCCCACAAACACACTGCGTTTGTGATGTGTATAGGGTGATGTTAACAATACATTGACCCCCCACATGCAGATTCCAAAGGCAGTGTGATCACCTGTGGTGTGGGAAATGCACACAGAATGCACCTTTCTGGCACCGTGTTCTGGTGTGAACCTGTTCTAAGTCAATGTGAAGATATGTCCAGCTTTACTAATACATGCCAACGTTGCAAATCGGTGTTCAGGTGTCTCAGTGATACGCAGGCTTCCCATGCTGTAAAATCTGTTATTCTTCTTTAGTAACAAGCTCCATATACTTCTACTACCAACACTGACAGATTCACACAGCATACAAGCACCTCTCCCATATTGTAATGCACCATCCTAAATGGCTTTCATACTGCAGCAAGTCAGCCCCGGCGCACTCGTGATGACGTCACGCTGTTACCTTGCTCCTCTCCCTCCAGGTATCTGACCCTCAGTTCGTCCTCGCTTTTCGCCTCCGAGCTGTACTGACGCCCCCCAGTGCCGGACAGGCGTATCACCAACTTCCCCTGCCCCCCGAGCTCCTGGCCTCGAGGGACCCGCCACGAGGCGGCGCGTGCAGCCCATGCTACCCCACCGCCATAGCTCAGGACCCTCAAGCCAGCCAGAGCCGCCATGCTGGGTGACGTCACTGAAACTCAGCCACTGCAAGCTTGTCCGGGAACACCGCTCCTGCTGCTGTGTTTCATAGAATAGCGTTGTTTATAAAGTTAGTTTGAAAAGAAAAAAAAAAGAATACGTGGAGGTTTAGGTGATGTGTCGGCAGGTGGGCTGCTGGTGGAATCCTCGTGGGGTGATTTATAAGTGTGGCTTGGTCTGAGCTCAGTAACAGGGGAAAGTAATATTTATACTAGTCTGAGAATGAATGGAGGGAAATGGTGACTCAGAGGTTGTTCATGACTGGAAACAACGGTCACTACAAATGTGTGACTGAAAACATGATACTAGGACAAGCAAACCTATTTTATTATGTTCTAAGAGAACCTGTGTAGTCCAACCTAAGCCTTTTATTTGCTAAACGCACCAGAAAGCGGTCACTGTACGCCACCAATCATACGCAGCCAAGGTTTTCTCTGCTCCACAGCTTTATGCATACCAAGGGTCTCAGGGTTGCCACCTCGTCCCTTTAAAGACGAACACATATGAATTATACAGGTTCTGTGACTAATTTGAAGTGGTAGTAAAGTCTGTTTTTTCACTTGTACCTATAGTAGGTTTGCCACCTCATCCCTTTAAACCTGAACACATAATAACCACTTCCTGTCCGGCCCATGTACATAAACGGCCAGACGAAAGCAGTGCAGGAGGGGGTGGTCGTTTGTAAACATCTTCCCACTACCCTGCCTGAGTTTGCGGCACCGCGAAGCGGTGTGTGGACACAGCAGAACATCAATCGCTGTATGGGACCTCTGTGTAAGGTCCCAATCGTGATCACTGATTGGCCAATCAGTGATCACATGAATAGTAGTAAGCAAGATGTTACTTGCTGACATTATTGCTTACTACTTGTGAAATCTGTGAATGATCACAGAGGTCACATGGTACAAGCATATTTACAACAGCCTTGTGCCATGTGACAAGCTGTGACCAATCACAGCTCTCACGGTATTTCTCAATGGCTGCAAGAATGCAGCCAGAGAGGAGAAATGATTGCTTTTACAGCCTTTATTGGTGTAAAAGCAATCAGTATAAAAAGAAATCTTCCTCACACCCCACAAGTAGTACAGTGTCACTATGGTGACACTGTACTGCTAGGGTGACAGTATGTTAAAAAAAAACATAAATAATAATAAAAATAGAATAAAAATGTAAAATTTGTAAAAATTATAATTTTTGGTTATAAACTAATTGGATTTTTTTTTTTACTAAAAAGATAGATGAATACATTTTGGTCAAGTTTTATGAAGAAAGATTATTTATTTGCAAACTTTTATAAGAAAAACACTTTTTTTTCAATATGTGTGGACTTTTTTATTTATATAGCAAAAAAATAAAAATCCCAGTGGTGAATAAATACCACCAAAATAAAGTTTTATCTGTCTCAAAAAAATGCTAAAAAATTCATATGGGTACAGTGTTGTATGACCGTGTTGTAAACGGGCTGCAGGGGACACAACTCGGGACCGAGGGACAGGTGAGTGTGTGTTTTTTTAAAAGGCAGTAGCTTCAGTTTTTGTAGCTGCTGACTTTTATTTTTTGACAGCGTGAGTGGAACTCCGCCATTCAAGTAGGGTTGCCACCTCATCCCTTTAAATCCAAACACATATTAATTACACAGGTTCTGGAGCTGATTAAGGTGGTAATTAAACTCACTTTGTGCTTATCTGTATTAAATTAGCCTCAGAACCTGTGTAATTAATATGTATTCCGGTTTAAAAGGGATGAGATGGCAACCTTAACCTACAAGTAAGCGTATAATAAGTCTTACCTGTAGGTACTGTAAATATCTAAACATGCACCATCTAAGAGATATTTGCTTGTAAAAGAGCACCGGCGTATGCGCTTTGAAGGAACGGCATGCCCATGCCGTTCCTTCAGAGCTGTGTGCCGTAAAAAAGTGACTCCTGTACACGTGCAGGAGTGATGTCATCGCAGCTCAGCCAGTCAAGTAGGGTTGCCACCTCATCCCTTTAAACCCAAACACATATTAATTACACAGGTACTGTGGCTGATTAAGGTGGTAATTAAGCTCACTTAGTGCCTTATCTGCATTAAATCAGCCTCAGAACCTGTGTAAATAATATGTATTAAGGTTTAAAGGAATGAGGTGGCAACTCTACCTTCAAGCCCGGAGCCCTCGATTCCAGAAGACAGACCGGATGAAGATGGAAGACCTGTCAGCGGTGACAGTGTGCAGCTGGAGGGCTTTGTTTTAAGGTAAGTTTCACATAATGTGCTTGTATTCAATGCATTCCAGCACATCATGCCATTGTCTTGCAGGTTTTTTTTTCTTTTTAAGGTCGTGGTTTACTACTGCTTTATTGCAGATAAGTCACTAAGTGAGTTTAGTTACCACCTTAATCAGCCACAGAACCTGTGTAATTAATATGTGTTCGGCTTTAATGTGGTTGTAAAGGCTCAAGGTTTTTTACCTTCATGCATTCTATGCATGAAGGTAAAAAACCTATGTGCAGCAGCTTCCCCAGCCCCCTCAATACTAACCTGAGCCTCATCATGATCCAACTATGTGAATGACAGCCTCAGCTGTCCTGGGTCTCTGCCACCTCATTGGCCTCATTGGCTTTGTCAATCACATCCAGTCAGCCAATGAGGAGAGCGGGGTGGGGCCAAGCCGTGGCTCCGTGTGTGAATGGACACACGGAGCAGCGGGTGCCCTCATAGCAAGCTGCTTGCTGTGGGGTCACCTGACAGCAGGGAGGGGGACCCGAGAAGAGGAGGATGCAGGCTGCTCTGTGCAAAACCACTGCACACAGCAGGTAAGTATAACGTTTGTTATTTTCCAAAAAAAAAAATGGTCCTTCAGAATTGCTTTAAAGGGATGAGGTGGCAACCCTAAGGTGTCTGGGAATGCCTCGGGGCTTAGGCCTTGTTTACATGGGCACATTTAACTGCTCGAGCTCCAGTCCAATTCTGACATTTCTTTCCTACATGTAGAAATCAGCTTTTTTTGCTAGAAACTTACTTAGCACCAGTGGCGTCCAGAGGCAGGTGCGGGGGGTGCACGCCACACCGGGTGACACCTACCGCACAGGGTGACACCGGACCCACTCTACGAATGGTAAGTTGTAAAGCAAGCCGACGATCCCCGCAGGATGGATCCGATCCATCTTGCGGGGATCGTCGACTTGCTTTACAACTTACCTTTTCATGGAGGGGGTCCGGTGTCACCCCGTATAGGTTGCATGCCAACGATCCCCGCAGGCAGATGGATAGGATCTGCGGATTGGGGAGCATAATGGATCAGACTCTTGCACCTCTTGTCTAACACCCCTGGTAGTGATGACAGGGAGTGTGGGGACAGAGTGGCATGAGGGCCGTTGTAACTGGTAGCGCCAGCTGGGGTTTGCAGGAAGCAGATAACCATAGATCACCAGGCAGGAACCGCAACACTGACAATTGCTTGGCAGACAGGAGTGTAGTATCCTGGAACATCAGGCAAAGACAGGATACGAGCCAGGATCTGTACACAGCAAGGTACAGGAACACAGGACAGAAGAAGAGTCAGAATACAAGCCAAAGTCAAAGTAGGCAGGCAGAAATACAGAGTCGGGCAAGCCGAGTCGTGCACAGGTAAGCAGGTGTAGCAGGTCAAGGCTCAGGTAAAGCAGAAACTAGCTGAAGACCACTCAGCAATCCATCTATGTTAAAGTGCAGCTTAAATAGACCATTTGCCACCAGCGCTCATATGTGTGTGCATGCGCAGTTTGTTTTCTGCGCACGCTAATACGTTTGCGAGTGTGACCATGCCCATTTTGTATTGAGCTTTTGCACAGAACTATGAGCGTGCACATAAGTTTGAGCATATGTCAGCCTTCTCCTTCCAACATGTACTGATATTTACTAACAATTATATATACATATATTTTTTTTTTTAACAGCAGAGGCCCTAGAGAATTATATGGTGGATGTTTTCATTTTTTATGTTGCGCTGTATTTGCACAGTGGTTTTTTTTAAAACACAACTTTTTTGGAAAAAATACACTTTATTGAATTTTAGAGCACACGAACAAAATATAATACCCAATTGTTTGGTAAAATATAAAAGATGATGTTACACAGAGAAAATAGATACCAAACATGTCATGCTTTAAAATTGAATTGGTGACAAACTACAGTGCATTAAATTATCCATAGGCAGCGCTTTAAAGGCCTTTACAGGTTACCCAGTTTAGATTTACACAGGAAATCTGGTGCTAGAATTATTGGTGTCGCTCTGATGTTGATGGTGATACTTCACGTGTTGTGTGATCATCACTTACGTATGCAAGCTGGACCAATATATGTGTTCCCTTTTGCGCACAATCAAGGGATGGGGGACACTTTTGTTTTTCGTTGTTTTACACTATACCCTTACATTTTTATATCACTTTTGTTGCTATTACAAGGGATAAATAACATCATGAATAACATCCCTTGTGATAGCATGGGCCATGACACATCCTCTTAATGGAGAGACCTAAGATCTCTCCTCTGGCCTCTAATGCAGCAGATCACACCAACATTGCTTTGATCTGCTGCTACACAAACTGGCAATGGCTTGTAAACAAAGGAACCGAAACAGGAAGTGACGAAATCCTTGTTGCTTCTTGTTTCTGATGTCATACAGTGAGAGGAACAATGTCAGTTCCTTTAATTGTGTTCAGGGAAGCTGATGCTGCCGATCTACCCTTGCAGGGCTCCCCAGTCACATGGGAGAGCCTGGTAAAGACGACAGCAGGAGGTGGATGTAGAAAGATTCAGAATCACCAGCTCTAAAAAATTATATCTCGGGTACTGCTGCACCCTTCCAATCCAGTGATGCACCGGAATGTCACTTTTTATCAAGTTAATCATATGCTTGCACGGGGATGCACAGGTGTTCCATTCATTCCTGTGCGGGCAGTCCCATTGCTGTAAGTTGGGACACAATTTGATGGTTATGCAAGTGCATGACCCGAATGCTCCCTATCCACATTTGGGGCTGCATAGCTCTCAAATTGGGAGTAATGGCTCTGTCCATGCAGCTGCTGCATCCCAAATGACACAAATGGGCTGCCTACACAGGAATCCAGGGAACACCCGTGTGTGTGCAAACATGGCTCTTGCACAGACATACAATCAAAGAGGAACTTCAGCCTCCCCCCCCCCCCCATTTTTTTCCCCTGCTTACCTTTTACAGCATGAATTAAGTGGAGAGCCGACAACTCGTTTTCCCGATAAAATAACTTTATTAATAAAGGGTACAGTGTGCAAGTTACAGCAACTTTATTAATAAAGTACTTAAAGTTGCTGGCTCTTCAAACATTGTTGGCTCTTCACCTTATACTTTTATGCTGTTTAACCCCTTTGCGGCTAAGGGTAAAACAAATCTAAATACCTAAGCACAATTTTACAACTTTAGTAAAAACGCACATATCATCACAAATACTTTGTGCATCCAGGTGGATTATATCTTGTTTTTTACAGGACAAATTGGGCTTTCATTTGATGGTAAAAGGTAATGGATATCTCCTGATTTTTTTATTATAAAAGGAAAACTGACACAAAATAGTAAAAAAAATATATATATTTTTTTTTAATTTAGCTGTGTATTTCTTGCTACTACCATAACCTACCACCAAAGAATAACTCAAAATAAATTCTCCTGCTCCTGATGATCGCAGAGATACCACATATGTGTATGTTAGTTGTTGTCTGTACCCATAGTACAGCCCAGAAACAATAGTGCACATTTTGCTTTTTTTTAATCCTACCTAAAATACACTGACACCAACTGATACTAATTTAAACATGTAAAAAAAAACCTGACTAAAAAAAAAAAAATACTGACTCTTGACTTTATGCAGCGCTTTACATATACTGTGGATATAAAAAGTTTACAGACCCCTGTTAAAATGTCAGGTTTCTGTGATGTAAAAAATTGAGACAACGATAAATAATTT